ATTATATTAAACAGTATATGGCACTTCTAGATAAAATTGATGCAGATATAATGATGCATGTTCAATGTTATAATTATTATAAAAATATACCTTGGGGCTCATTCAGAGTCAAGGATTCAGTTAACTTAATTCAGTAAGAGGTAAATAGGCTGGGATGAAGCTTGGGTGGTAGAATGCTTACCTAGCATGCACAAGGCCCTGATTTGATCCTCAGCATCATATAAAACCAGATGTGGTTGCTCACATAGTTAATCCCAGCACTACAGAGGTAGAAATAGGAGAATTAGAAGCTCAAGGTCATCCTTAGCTATACAGAGAATTCAGTCCTGCCTGTGCTACATGAAATCCTGGATTTAAAAAATAAAAGTTAATAACTATGCTCCATATATCATAACTTTGTCATATATTCAGCATAAAAGTAATGTTTTTCAAAGTAACAAAATGCATTCCTTAACCTTGACAAATACACAGCCTAATCAGAAGATAGAACATATCCTGAGAAATATTTGTCCCAGAACAAATTATATTGTGGCTAAGGACTAAAATAAGCAAACAATTAGTAGGATAAGACTTTATAGGAGCATCAAAGATGCTTCCTGCAAAAAGAACTGAGATGACCTTTAACAGACAAATAGACACAAGCAGCAAGAGAAAAGTATCATGAAACACAGAAAATACCATGAGTAAAATGAAGATAAGACTGATCACAGCCATGTTCATGAAGCCATGAATAAACAGGGTCAAGGCAGTCAATGAGTTTGAGCTACTAAGAACTAACCAGATTTTGTATCAAATAAGAGAGTACCATGTGGGGGTACTTTTAAAAAATCTACACCTATGAATAAGAAAAATCATGCCATATCCAGAGAGCATGTTTTCAAATGATTACATAAAGTTGACAGGTTCACCATCATTTTCCCATACATAGAGGCCTTTGTAGTACATCAAGCAAAAACCTGTCCTACATAGTGTACCTAATGTTCCATTAAAATGACCATTATAGCCAAATTTAGCCACAGCACTGTGTGGCTTTCCCCTCTAGTGACTGCCAAGAGAGCCAAAGTCCCCATTTCCAAAGAGAGATGCTCTATTAAAGATTTATTTCAATGACCTTAACCATTATCATAATGTTTTATTTTTGTTAAAAGGGTAAGAGGGAAAGAATTTCATTTGGTCAATGGATCTTGCAGGAGACATGAACAGTCAGTGTGGTTTCTTTCAGTAAAGTTTTTTCAATACACTGGAGTTGAGTATATAGTTAAACATGAGCGGGAATAGATTATTGCCTCCAAAATTTTTCTTTAAAACCTGCCTTTTACCCAAATGCAGTTTTCAGAACCTTTTCTACTCATTAGGATAACCTTACCTTTCCCACCAGAGACCCTGGAAAGGCAACAAACGGCTTTATTTTTCAGGTAAGAACAACTTCGGTGCCTACTTCTCTTCAGTAGCAACCAATAATTAAAAACAGCTCCCCAGAGAAAGCCAATGTGCTTTTAAAATTGAAGACTAACATCGGGTATTCTTAAAATCTATGATGCTATAAAGAAATTAATGTATAAAACAAGACTCCTTAGAGCTACATAAAAGGAGGTTTAGTAAATGCCAACTTACCTACAAAGCATCGCTCTTTGGGAAGAAATTCAACTGCATCTAATGTATGGTGGCTTGTCAAATAAGAATTTAATTTTCTTAAATGAGAATTTCAAAGGGTGGTAGACTATGTCTCTTCCAAGTGCCTCTATGATGTCACTTAGGATAAAGCGCCTCTGGTTTTCCATAATCTCCTTACATGATTTCTGGTTATGCCATACTGTCCCAGCACTATGTCATATGAACATACTAGTTGAAAACCACCCTAGAAATGAAGTTTTTAACTGTGAACACTGCAGGTCCAAATAAAAGTAAGTAGGCAGGAGGGATGATGCAGGTCAGGTCACAGAACCTATCAGCAGCAAAAATTCAGAGTAATTGTGCTACGGCTGTAGCCATTAGAATCTTTGTTAAAGCACTGTTAAGTGAAATGGGTATGGAAGCCATAACACCAGTATCTAGGTCATATGCAAGCTCCATTTTCCAGATTCTCATGTCCGAGGTCATTCTGCGCCCTTGGACTACACCATTAGGTAATGGATTTCTTGAGGAACAGCCCAAGTAATACTGGTATCCATTCCCAAGCATGGTTCATGTTTGGGCTTGCTCTGCCTACAAGGGAAAGTATACTCTACGACAATTTCCACTTATGCAGAAAGCTACCAATTCATGTATTCTGGATAGTAATGGACAGATCAGGTCCAAGGAAGTGGGGGGAAGTTAAAATTACAAATATTAGTATAATATCTTTGCTTTCACACCTGCTTTTTTCTTTAGTAAGTAAAAAAGTGGTCATTGCCTTAAAACCTATCACATTCCTGAAAGTTACAACTCAGTAGCTGACAGAGACTAGCACATGCTGGGTGTTCAAGTAGTATTTGTTGAATAAAACTTCTACCTATTCACCCTTATCTTTTTTGTTTGTTTGTTTTGGTTTGGTTTTGGTCTTTTTGAGACAGGATCTCCCTGTAGCCTCAGCTAGCCTGTCCTGGAACTATGTAGACCAGGCTGGCCTTGAACTCACAGACTCACAAAGATCCTCCTGCCTCTGCTTCCAGAGTGCTGGGATTGAAGGTGTGTGCCACCATGCCTGGCTACCCTTATCTTTTTAAAGATTCTATTCATTATTTTTATTTTAGGTGTAAGAGTGCACTGCCTGCATTTATGTAAGTGTGCCCGTGTCATGTAATGCCTGAGGAGGTCAGAAGAGGGCATCAGATTGCCTGGAACTGGAATTAGCAACAGTTGTTAGCTGCCATGTGAATGCTGGGAATCAAACCCGGGTCTTCTGAAAGACCTCTTCTGACCTCCACAGACACTGTATGACATAGGTACACTTACATACATGTAGGCAAAATACTCATACACATACAAATAAGAAAGAGAGAGAGAGAAACAGAAAGAAAAAAATTGGTTTTATGGTCAAGAGTGCATGAAGCTCAATGGTTCGATCCCCAGCAATACCAGAAAGATAAGGATGGAAGAAAGGAAGGACGGAAGGAAAGAAGGAAGAAGGAAGGAAGGAAGGAAGGAAGGAAGGAAGGAAGGAAGGAAGGAAAAGTAAGTTTCTATTCTGTTATTAGCCTTTGTTCTTAGAAAGGGAAGTAGTGCATCATGGTATCTAAAGGTTCAGTTCCAAAGAGGAGCACTTCAAACTCTCATATAACAACATATGTCTCTCTTTTCTGATTCTTAGCTTCCTGTTATGTTTATGTTACAGGGTTGCAGACCAAAAAAAAATGATTTCCTATCTCTGCAGTAAATGTTACTAATTAATAATCATTGCTATGTTTGGCATGTGATTTATATCCCCAAAGTTGCATGTGTTTGACACTTCGTTCACTCACAATGCAGTGGTGAGAATTGGTTTGGAACCTTCACAAAATGGGGCCTGATGAGAATTCCTGGGTTCCCAGGGGCTTGCCCTAGGAAGGGAATACCTGCTGGGGTCCTACACATTCTCCTGGGGCAAGTTGTGATAAAAGTCTGAGTCACTCTCTGGCTGGCTCTCGACATGACACTTCCTCCCTCACAGGCTCTAAGTCTGAGCTCTGTTGTCTGCCACAGGGCCCTCACAGGAGCCAGTGCTACGCTGTGGGGCTTGCTAGCCTTCAAAACTGTCAGCTACATAATCCTATTTTCTTTATTTCAACAAAGTGATAAAATATACTTTCTTACTGCCACAAAACTTAACATATTCATAGAACAATAAACGCTGATTCCAGTAAAATTAAAAGAAAAGATAGAAAAGCTATGACAATTCCTCACATCATTCTTGAACCCTCACATATACATGCACACACAGGCACACACTCATGCATGCACATGTACTCACCAACATACAAACATACATGTTTGCACTCAGAAGAAGAAAAGACAGTAAATCTATACGAATTGTGATAAGCAGATTATCACCAGTATAAAATATATTTAAGAGCCTGACGTGGTGGTACATACCTTTAATCCAGCACTCAGGAGGCAGAGACAGACAGATCTTGGTGAGATCAAGGCCAGCCTGGTCTACACAGCAAGTTCCAGGCCAGCTGGGGCTACAGAGAGACCCTGTCTCAAAAACACCAAAACAAAACAAAACAAAACAAAACAAAATACATTTAAGTCCATTCAAATGTTTAATATCATCTTATAGTTTCATAGGTCAGCACATGAATCCAACTGAAATAGAGGTAAAGGACTGTAAATCAATGAAACCATTATCCAAGCACTTGCATTGATAATAAAGATGTACAGGTAACAGCCTCTGCCCTTGACAACTGATGGTTTATTTAGGAAGACAGTGTGTGTACAGGGAGAGAATATTTGTGGATACAGCATTATATCTATAATTTGTCAGGTGTATAAACTGGGTAATGAGTGTTTATTTTGCTCAAAATATCAGTAAGTTTGGTCTTCATTAAGTGGAAACAGGGACCAAATTATCCTTTGAGTTGCTGATAAGTGGGTCATACCACTTTGAACATTAGAGTGTGTACTCGGCAGGACCAAAAATCTACATGGAATCCTCTTTTACCATAGGATGAAATAAAAGCAATTATTCTTTTTCTTTTTTTAACATTAGGTCATGGAACTAAAGGAGTTTTTGAGCTTCTGTCTGGATGGCGGAGAACCAAAGAGAATTTACCATTCAAAGACAGGGTAGCAGACGCCTACTCTGATGTAATGGTGACCTATACCATGACCAGCTCCCTGTACTTGATCACCTTTGGCATGGGTGCCAGCCCCTTCACTAACATAGAGGCGGTGAAGATCTTCTGTCAGAACATGTGTGTCTCTATTCTATTGAACTATTTCTACATTTTCTCTTTCTTTGGCTCCTGTCTGGTCTTTGCTGGCCAACTAGAGCAAAACCGATACCACAGTATCTTTTGCTGTAAAATCCCTTCTGCAGAATATCTGGACCGCAAACCTGTGTGGTTCCAGACAGTGATGAGTGATGGACACCAACAGACATCTCACCATGAGACAAACCCCTACCAGCACCATTTCATTCAGCACTTCCTCCGTGAACATTACAACGAATGGATCACCAACATCTACGTGAAGCCATTTGTGGTCATCCTCTATCTCATCTATGTCTCGTTCTCCTTCATGGGGTGCTTGCAGATCAGTGATGGCACCAGCATCATCAACCTACTAGCCAGTGACTCCCCAAGTGTTTCCTATGCCCTGGTTCAGCAAAAATATTTCAGCAACTATAGTCCCGTGATAGGATTCTATGTCTATGAGCCCCTGGAGTACTGGAACAGCAATGTCCAGGAGGATCTGCGGAGGCTTTGTAGTGGGTTCACGGCAGTGTCCTGGGTGGAACAGTACTACCAGTTTCTGAAAGTCAGCAACATCAGTGCCAATAACAAGACTGACTTCATCAGTGTCCTACAAAGCTTGTTTTTAAAAAAGCCGGAATTCCAGCATTTTCGAAACGACATCATCTTCTCCAAAGCAGGGGACGAAAACAATATAATTGCTTCTCGCTTGTATCTGGTGGCCAGAACTAGCAGAGACAAGCAGAAGGAAGTCATCGAAGTGTTGGAAAAGTTGAGGCCCTTGTCCCTCTCCAAGAGCATTCGGTTCATTGTGTTCAATCCTTCCTTTGTTTTCACGGACCATTACAGTTTGTCAGTCACCGTGCCTGTTCTGATTGCAGGCTTCGGGGTTCTCCTGGTGTTAATCCTGACTTTTTTCCTCGTGATCCATCCTCTGGGAAACTTCTGGCTAATTCTTAGTGTCACCTCAATTGAGCTGGGCGTTCTGGGCTTAATGACATTGTGGAACGTCGACATGGATTGCATTTCTATCTTGTGCCTTATTTACACTTTAAATTTCGCCATTGACCACTGTGCACCACTGCTTTACACATTTGTATTAGCAACTGAGCACACCCGAACACAGTGTATAAAGAGTTCCCTGCAAGAGCATGGGACAGCCATTTTGCAAAATATTTCTTCTTTTCTTATTGGGTTGGTCCCTCTCCTATTCGTGCCTTCAAACCTGACCTTCACACTGTTCAAATGCTTGCTGCTGACCGGGGGTTGCACACTTCTGCACTGTTTTGTTATTTTACCTGTGTTCCTAACCTTTTTCCCTCCTTCCAAAAAGCACCACAAGAAAAAGAAACGTGCCAAACGAAAGGAAAGAGAGGAGATTGAATGTATAGAAATTCAAGAGAACCCTGATCATGTCACCACAGTCTGAGGGGTGGATACAGATGGATTCTTTTTCTTTTCCAGTATTGCACAAGGATGCAGGCCAAGTAAGGCTCAGACCTCAGCTGCTTGGGCTGGCCCGGGGTAACAAGGCAAGGCAGATCAAAAGTGCATTATATACGACACTTTCAGGTGTCTGCTTCTTGCAGGGGGGGAAGAGAATGAAAAGGGGGGAAGTTCTTTGCAACCTTGTTCTCCGTGAAAGATAAATTTCCAGACATGATCTTAGAGCTCTTCCAAGGAATGGATGAATCAATGAAGTGGTAAGACAGAAAGCGATCAGATCCAAGTGCTGCAAAAGAAATGCTTAGAAGACCGGAGAAGAGAGAAAAGGTGGTCTCCAAATAGGGAGAAAGACATAAGAAATGTCAAAATTGCCATGTCACTTTTCATGCTTGTGTTTTTGAACAGGTCGGTCAAAGTAAACCTATGCACACAGGAAGTACATATTTAATCCTGTCTAAACCAAAGGACTTCCCAATCCATTTTCTGTGTACATATATATGTATATTGCCATATATACATATACTTAGATTTGTCTTTAGTGTACACTGGTGTTTGTGTGAAGGAAGGTGTCCATTTGCAGATAGGCTGGCCTTTCTCCACAGAGCCAAATCTGCTTTAGCCAAATATTTAAGCTCATTTAGAGATGATTTGACATATATAAGCTCACCAGTGGCCAATCAAAATCAGCTCAACTGTCCAGACAGCAAGAATGTATTCAGCTGTGTGGTAACAAAACCAGAAACTGTAATCCATTAAGTTCTATATGCCATGTTGTTGGTCATTGAGACTTTAACTTTGGGATGACTTAGCAAAACTATAAAAGGCAATTGAATTCATTGCCACATGAACAGTGTTTAAAAATATCATATTAGAGTTAAACTAGCTGAGATGGCTTATCATTGGCCCTTACAATTTCTCTATATTTGGAAAGGCAACGTGGCTGGTTTCAAAGAGCTCACCCACCTGCAAATGAGCACTTTACCCATATTGTCCCTATGTGTTTGTATGTAAGGGTTTGCAGTGTGAGAGAGAGAGAAAACGAGAGCTAACATTCCATAGTTACAGCATCCTTATTTTATATGGTGAAAATACACTGCTGTAAAATTTAGTAACTGACACAGAGAAAGGAAATACACCAGGAATCTTGGAGTGAAATAGGCCATCACCACTCATCAAAAGGTCCTTAGTGTAAGGAAAATATTCCAGTGCTGTAAACTCTAGTGTGTTCCTTGCATTACATTTAAAACATTAACCCAGGCCATGACCACTTTGAAGGTGATAACCATAATGACTGCAATATCATTTTGTAGCTTCTTACTATATCATTATTTTGTTACCCAGAAAGTAACCTCTAAGGTAAACGTAGCCCTCTATAGGTCGTTCCCTAACTGTATATAACAGACAGATGTTGAATTCTCCTCCCCCCCCCCAAAAAAAGAATGAAGAAAACATTTCCACTGAGTTAAAGTTTAAAACTACTACTCCCCCGGAGGTAGATTCAACCTGCTGGGTACTTTCATGGATTAATGCTGTGCTTCCTGTTGGAGAAAAAAAATCACTAGAAAATGCCCTTTCCATACTAACTAGTGATATAGGTAACAATTTATTTCCAGGTAGGATGGAACAAATGTCCAACAATTAGAAAATCTGCTAATAAGCTCTTTTTCCTGGAAGAAATTGCTATTTCCTACCAATTTTGGTTGTATGTTTTCATTGCATTATTATATTATAGCTAACAAAGCAAAACAAAAATTCCTAAACTTATTTTAAGTTCAAAAATGATATATGATCAATTCCATGCTCATTATAGTCTTTGGAAGTGACAACAGCTTTTTTTGTAAATGAGGCACCAAAATATGAAGAGAAAGGGGACCAGATTCGAAAATGAAAGTCACTTAAATAAAAATTCGTTTTATTGAATGGAGCTTGTTTTGTCCTACCTTAAGGTTTCAATTTCTTTCCCATTCTGTTCATTTGGACACAACGCCTAGAGAATTGAGTATGGAAAATTAACTGCCCATAACCACTGTGTTTGTAAAGTCACGTCACAGATCACACTAGCCTTTTACCTCATGCCAGGGTGAAGTGGCATCTGGACAGTAGACTTGCAGACCATGATCTCATATTTGAAGTTGAAGTTTCTGAGTAGTTTTTGGACTTGGAGGAAGGGACTCCTCTTTCAAAAATCACCTTTTTTTTTTTCATCTCAATGGGCACTCATCAGCTGAGGAAGTCCATGATCATTCCACATCTTTCCATAATCTGTGATATCCCTTTTCTTTCACTTATTTATTTAAAGTTCACATATTTGAGGTTTTTTAATTACCATACACCATTCCAGATGCAAAGAAGAATGGCAGGCTAATTTATAGAGAATAAATCAAGCATATCAGTTATCAAAATACACAGGCATAAGAGTGGCACATTCTGTCCAAGCACTGGGACAACTGAAATATGACTCCATCTACAGAGTCTGTATTTGGATGGGGGAAAGTGCTTTTTTTTTTAAGGTTATGTCTTCAAGGATCAAAGTGTCTATGACAAATAGGAATTTATCATTGTTCAACTGACTAGAGAGATGGCATTTTAGAAGGGATATTATCTTTCCCAGAACACCATGGTACTCTCTAGTGAACTGTAGCAATAATTTACTGAAATGGAACTCCATGTTCTGGCAGAATTAATTTACTACCCAAAATGCCTTGACTCAGTCTTAGGAAGTAATGTAAATCCAGAAGAATCTCACTAAGCATCATCCAGACTTTCCAACCTCACTGTGAAGCAGTTCCTTTGCTGAGTAGCAAGATGCACCCTAAAATATGAGATCATGATTTGCAGGTAACCCCTCAATCTCAGCCTTTTCTAGTAGCTTGTATGCACCTCTCTCTCATTTTCCAAGTTTACACTTGCTTTGTCCATTTGTAAACATTGATGGTGTTCAAATTAGGAACTTGTCTACTATCAACAAATGACCATTCAAACCCTAGAAGAAAAGAAGTCTGTAGGAAAATTTTCAGATTTGTGGAATATTTTATTTAATGTGATTTCCTTTAAAGTTTGCAAAAACAATATCTTCTCTGTATTTAAGCTGGACTGTGGATTACTTTTCCCCCCATCAAAATTTAAATCTGAAATAAAAAGTACCATATAAGCTTCACGCTCCATGATATTAAGCTTCAAAGAGGTACTGACCTAAATTCTCGGACAAAATTCGGATGCTACATTTTTAACCTCTGTGAGTAAAGGTAACCACAGGCTAATTTATGCCATGCTTAATTCTTTTGAATGTAAGGTGTGCTTAGACATCAGCCCATGAATTCTCAAAGTGACTATGAACCTCTTTGAAGACTGTGCATGTATATTCTATGACAGAACTGTTCTCCTCTGTGGCTATATCATGTGAATGTCTCTCTCCCAGTTGATTCCCATTTATTTCCATAGAAATAAATTCACATGTTTTATCTTGTGTTGTGAAAGGAAGAATCATGCCAAGTGACACTCCTAAGATGCTATAATAGCCATTATTGTTATGTTGAATGTGAGAGCTATGTCCATTCTGTAATTATTCATTGCACTTTACCATACCAAGCTAATCCTTCTAGACTTGTGATTAGAGCTAGGGATTAACTATCACCATTCAGAATTACATGTATTTTTATAAGTTGACTGTAAATATTGTCATTACAGTCAGATATTTTATGACCAAATAGTTATAAATGCATGGCACATGCATGCATTGTTACTGATAGTACATAGATTATTAAAGGCACTATTTTCATGGTTATTTCACCTTTTATTACAATTTTCATATCCTCTGTCATAAATGCTTCATGGATTTTGGTCTCAAAGGCCTTAAGTCCACAGAAAGTTTCATATTAAGAGAAGCAATTTGAAAATTGCATTCTCGTGGTGTGAACAGTTCTAGATGTCCACTGGGAAATCCCAGGAACTAAGTCTGGGCACAGTAGAATCTTCATTAGCCAGTTAGTAAACATATTTTTATACCCTGGGTTTGCTAAGGTCATAGTGAGCCAAGACTTAGCTTACCTTAAAAATGAATTTTGATATTATCTTCTGTGATATGAGAATTCCTTGATTTGTTCAAACTCCTCCCAGAGGGAAGTCTTGACTCAGTTTTGTTGGTGTTTACACATAGTTCTGATAATTCTTTCAAAGATGGACTTGAAAATTTCCATTTACTTCAAAGAAATTTTAGGATTATTTTCATTTAAAAACAGAGAAAAATTTGTGTTCTTTCTCTTTTAAAAAGTGGGATAAAATTTATGACATTGAGTTAAAGCATCTAAGCTAAATTAGTATCCCCTTGAAATCTCATCTCAAAGCTAAATACAAAACTCAGCATCATCACTCTGGCATGGGCATTTATACCAACCTTTTAAAGCTATTATTGAAGATATTCTGTGTAGGGGAAACATGAATTGTATTTCCTACTCTCTCTTCAGAATAACTGCAGTGATCTTATTGAACAAACCGAAATCAGCAGCATCCAACAAAAAGCAACAAAGCCTCTCTGCATGAAGTCCAGCACACAGATGCAGTAGCAATAGGACCACCCTGTTTTAGTTAGAAGGACAGAAGGTGGCATCCTGTGTTTGGGGTGTTTGGGGGTCTGGTTAGATGACATTTGGATAAGATTGGAAGAATATTAAAGGATGGATAAGCCCCCATCTCAGAAATCAGGATATTGTCACGTAGGTGGATATGGAAGAGTGACATCATTCTATACATTTTATGACTTAGAGTACAGCACAGAGAATTAGATGGTGCCTCAAAACTGAGGGTACTCACCTGCTAACAAACTTGGTCACATGCAGGAATATCCCACTTGAAGAAAGCACTCTTTTCAGACTTATATTGAATGTGCTTCTTGACAAACATGATGAGAGCCATAGATCCGTTCATGGGTGGAAATGAGAAGCCAAAGAGACTCTGAACAGAGGCTTCAAATAAGCACCCAGGAAAGTACTCATTTTCAGAGTAGGTAGCACAATCACATTTTGAACATTTTTGTGTGCTTATGAGCACCTCTGCCTGCTGCTAATGGGGAAGTCATTTGCTCTTTCTGTGAAATGGAAAACAATTCAAAGAGAGAACTATATGGAACAAGTATGTATTCGTGGCTTCTCTGGGATCATATCTTAACACTTCTGCCTCCCTAAAGATATCAAAATAAAATGAGCTTAGACTCTACCCTGGGAACCTCTATCAGATAGGTGTTTTTAATACTGTGAAATATTTATAAATAAAACCATTGCTAATTTTGAACTTTTATAGACAGCCAGCTGTCACTATTTTACCCAGTTGAATTTTCCCCAGGAAAGCTCTCAAAGGTCATGCTAAATATGAATCTTGAAAACAGGAAAGAGATTTGAGGAACACAGGACTAGGAATCATCCACGGGCCGATGATGAGCCCTACTCTTCATCTTGTGCTTGTTCTTATCCAAGCTGGGGCTTGTATGAGTCATTTGTAATTGTGTTCTGATTTGCTACACAGCTCATGGCATGGCCTGATGTGGTTTCCTTCCTCTTTGTTTTTACAGTGATTAAAGCATCTCCATTATCTCCAGGGGCACTGTCAAACCAGTGCAGAAATAAGAATTTTAATTTTTTGGAAGATTTTACTGAAGAATTTCCTGGAAATTGTTAGGAGAAAGATCGTCATGGGTAAAGATAAGTGCAGTTTACTACAAATGTGTCACTTTCCAGTCCTGAATAGAGTTAACTTGGATTCTTGGTGGGAGCTATCAACAGAGCATCATGAGGAACACCTAAGTTATCTAGATGTAAGAAGGGAATAAGACTTTCCCACTGGGAACTGAAGTAACTTCCATCATTATGGCCAACAGATCCACTGGTTATTAGTAGCCATATTGAAAGCACTGAAAAAATAAAACAAAACAAAGTGTCACAGTGTTACATCTCCTGGTACAATCAACAGCATCTGTGTCGATGTGGAATCAGGATATCCTAGTATCCTCTCTTCTCAGATATAAAAGTCCTAGTTACTGAAAAAATCAACCTTACACTCTCTAATAGTAATATTCCAAAGTTTCAGCAGAGTTTAAGCAGAAACTTGATTATTCTTTCCTGTTAATTATGCACATCTTTTCGGCAATAGACTTTCTTGCTCTTAAGTAGAAAATCTGTCACCGCTTGAAAAGGGCAGAGATTTCACTAAGCTACCTCACAAGAATATCTAAAGATAAAATGGCATGCAACCTTTGACTAATGGCAATATAAAAGAGCCACAGAGCAATAGTATTTAATCACTTCTTCTAATGCCCTTTCACTTTGTGAATTTATACCTGGCCAATTGTAAGCTGAGCACCCCTGTGTACAGTTTTACCTGTGCATTCTAGTTAGTAGAATACTCACTAAAATGACACCACTCAGGGAAGTTGTTCAGCTTTCTCTTCATGGACATCCTAAAGAATAAAAACTGGTTCAGAAAGAGTATGGCAGTGGCCTACGAGTGAGAGCGTCATCAAATAACACGCGACCATGTGGAGGGAAATATTCGCTTCTTCAGTTATGCTTGGCAAATATGAAAATGCAAAGTAACTAGTATTTGGCATCTTAAGTTTTGTTTTCCAATGGAAAACTACTATTTTCAGCTCAATTAGGATTTTGAAACACAGGCTGCTTGAAGTAAATGAGAAAGACTAGAAGGAGCCACTCATGCACAAATAAGTTGCAGGAATAGACATGGAAATTGAGCATTTATTTCATTTTGTTCCCTTTCCAAAACAAAAACTCACTGTTTCTTAGGCCATGTGCAGTTAAATGTTCATTTCCACAACAAAATTAAGACAAATGCTAAAAGGTATGAACTGATAAGCCTTCAATGCTCAACAGTATAAAACTCATAGCAAATTATGCTTGCCAAATGACTTTGTCCATGAAAACACACATTTTTCTACATACAGATTCCTACTGCAATTCTTTTCCTGAAAACAGCCTTGTTTATCACTCCCAAGAGAGTTCCAATAAGCTAATAAGCCATTTAAAGCTCTCTGTTCCACACCTCTGCTCACTAAAGCTATCATACTAGCTCTACCACT